ATAAATAGTAATACAAATGCACGAAGCCACCAGCAGGAGCCAACCGCACATTTGTGGTTTCAGTTGATAGATCTTGTGCTCACAAGAAAACTGGTGGCTTCGTGCATTTGTATTTCTATTTTTTGTTAGCCACTTTCTCGAGTGCTATGTCCGATTATTAACTTCAGTTTCTATATCAAGACATTCAATAACTTTCATATTTGTATAATTTCCTGGACCCGGATGTCACGCTGCCTCTGTAGTGATTTTGATAGGAAAAACGTGTCGAATCGCTTTTGCGTAGACTTTTTTGGCAAGTATTTTGTTTATTAATTCGGCTTTGAACCCATTATTTCTTATTGCCAATAACAACGTAATTGAAAAATTAATTTTGCGAGTTAGAGCTTGTTCGTTTAATGGGGGGATTTTCAAGACCAATATTGAAATTTCCCCTGGCTAGATGTTTGTTTCAGCTCTAAAGATCCATCAACTTGTGCTTCTGAAGTCACGGAAGTTATTCTATCACCCATGGATGCATATATTCTTTTTTCAATGAAACGACCTTCTAACGGCAAACCTTGGTTCAACAAAAATTGCGAACAAGCTGTCGCCTCCAAAAATCTGGCCTACCAGAAGTGTCGCAAAAATCCCAGGGCCGAAAAGCGAACCAGGTTTATCAATGCTCGCAACAGCTGTGAACTTGGGATAAATGAAAGCAAAGAACTCCACAATCAGAGAATTAGGAATAAATTGCTTGCTAATCCCAACGGGTCTACGTCCTTCTGGTCGGTAGCTAAAGCTGTTGATCAGAACTTTACAAAATCCACAATTCCACGACTAACACAAGCGGATGGTTCAATTGCAACAACATCTATAGAAAAAGCAAATCTATCTACTATCTGAACAATTTGCTTCCCACTTCACAGTCGATTTTCTGGGAAAGGCATCACCTACTATTCCCACAGAAGAATCCACAATGCCGTAAATTACTTTTCAACAGCTTCTAGTCAGGCGAATTTTGAAACCGCTCAATATCAACAAGGCGTCTGGTCCTGATGAAGTGCCTGTCATTGTACTTAAAAAGTGCGCAAATGAATTCGCGCCAGTATTTTGCAGACTTTTCAACCTGTCTCACAAGAAAACTCATCCAAATAACTATATACCTGTCGCTTTGCTTTCAGTGATATCAAACATCATGGAGAAAGCCGTAAACCACCATATCCTGAAGTATTTGGAAGACTTCAACATCTTGAGCGATCATCAATATGGTTTTCGCAGCAAACCCTCATGCCGTGTGTGGCATGAGGCCAAACTTCGATGCTATGGGTTGAGGGATCATTTTTGTGTATGCTTCTTCAGCTTCCTGAGAGAACGTTTCCTGCTAGTGGCTGTCGATGGATATCTCCCGAATACTTTCACCATCAACGCTGGTGTCTCCCAGGGCTCCATATTGTCTCCAACCCTCTTTTAATTGTATATCAACAACTTATTGAAAAAAACCAAGAATCCAATATATTGCTTTCCTGTGCTGAGTCACACTTATCTCGTCATTACATTTAGATCCCAGGACATCGGCTGCGGAAGCACATCTTCACCGGCAGCAGGAGGTTGGATATATTGATGAGGATCTAGAAGTAATTTCGAATTGCGAATTGGGGTGAAAGTAACCAGAACCAGGTTCAATTCAGTGCCACAAAAACCCAGGCATCTGTTTTCTCCAAGAAAATAATTGTCTCCGAACCAGATAAAATAATGTCAAGTCAGACAATTCCGCTTTCTGCTTCGATAAGTTTGTTGGGAGTTAAAATGGACACCAATTTGTCTTGACACAGTCATGTTGCTGGAATTGCAAAGGATGCTTCTCAAAAGCTTGGAACTCTGTTCCGAACCAGAAAACTGTACACACCTCAACAACTTTTGATGCTGTATTACTCTTTGGAGTATTGTTTTCATGTATGGAGCTCCGCCCCCAAATATACCCTGAAGCTGCTGGATTCCATCCAGAACCTTGATAGTCTGAAACTTCGAAGAAAGGTTGGAGATTCATCCCTTTTCTATAGATACTTTTACGGGAAGTCATAAAGTGACTTGGCACACTGATTCCACTGAGAGCGGTACATATCAGAAATACGCGACGGACTGTGGCTGCTCATCGTTATGAGGTTCAACTCAGTACATCTCGAGCATCACTGTTTTGAGAACTCTTTCATTTGGAGAACGGTGTTGATGTGGAATAAACTTCCCGATAACGTTTTTCCAAATGGATTTAATCTCCATCGATTCAAATCCAATGTGAATCACTACTTTCGCACAAGCACTGCTTTAAGAGCGCCTTAAGGATTTTTCTGTGGTGCTTATGATCGTTGAATCGTCAAGCTCAAGGATAACTCCTAGATATCGCGCACTTCTCTGCTCATCAATGCCGTCACCCTTAACTAGCAACTTTCCGTGGATCTTTACGTTCGTAAATTTCCTCGAGAAATTGACGAGTTATGTCTTCCTCGGGTTGACTTTTATTTTATTTTTGTCAAAATATGGCACGACCATCCCATCAAGGTGCGTATATCGCAATATCATCTGCGTATATACCCACATTCGGTCTCGGAAACTTAGGAAAGTCGTGCGTAGATAAGGAATAAATATGCGGTGATGAGCAGGACACCTGCGGGGAACTCCTTCAATCGGATGATTCGCAGATGTGATTTGCTCTACTCTGACGCGAATAGTTCAGTAGCTCAGGTGGGATTCAAGAATCCTAATCACCAATAAGGGCATGCCTGCCAACCACATCTTAGCGACAACTCCCTCTATTTAAACTTTGTCGAAAGTTTTCTGAATGTCCAACAGGACCATAACCGTATTCTTCCCCTAGTTGAAGGATTCCCTCACCTCGTGAACAACCCGGACCAGTTATGAAGTCATATTCTGATCTCGCCGAAACCCAAATTGCTCTTCGGGGTTGAGCTTCATCCTGTCTTCCAGGCGAAGAAGTCTACTCAGGAGAATTTTATCAATGACCTTTGCCACCGTACTGACCAGTGAGATCGGGCGATAACTATCGATGAGCCATTTTGGTTTCCCCGTCTTATGAATGGGCACCCCCTCCACGTGCTTTAGTCAATCCGGATAGTGCTGGTGTTTTATGATAGCATTTATGATGTATACCAGTTGTACGAGATTCTTCCACGGCAGGTTACGAAGTAGAACTGCCTTAATCCCATCAATGCCTGGGGCTTTGTTCTTCCTCAAGCGCTTGATGGTAGGTAGCAATCACCTCCTCGACGTCTGTGATCCACATGAGTAGTATCGGCTTCGGTATCGTTGGAGCCGGTCTACTTTTTATGTCTTTATAAACATCAGACATTTCTCTGTGATGATCACGGTAATCGGGATCAACTTGGTGAATACTGGCTTAGTAGGTATTCCCCGAATGGCACAAAATGAATTTTGTGAAACAATTATGGATTTTTTAAATGGAAACCAAAATAATTTATACAATATTCGCTTTACTGATGATTTAACCGTTGGTTCTTAATGGTTATCGCACGTTATTAGGGAAGGTCAGTATCCAGAGAAAGCGAACGTTTGGGCTGTTATTCATAGGAATACCATTATTGGACCATTATTTATTTAGAAAAATCTAACTGTTTGAAGAAATAATCGGTAACACGATTTTGCAGGATGATCTTATTCACTTTCAACATCAAACTACTTTCTTCCAATTAGACAGTGACTAAATGATGGATTTTCTGGCTGATGGATTGTCGAAGAGGACTAATAGAATGGCCACCACGATCACCTGACTTATCGCCTATGAGAGCATCTAATCGATTGTTTATGAAACACAGCGTCAAAATGTGTAAGATTTGAAGAGAAAAATAGCAGCTGTGTGTAGAGAAAGTTCTGCTAAAGCATTTCGGAATGTAAGAGATGACTTTGAGAACACACCTTATTATTTTGAAAATAATGGATGACATTTTGAAAATTTGGTGAAATAAATTGATTTTTATGTTTCATTGCAAAATACTTGATACTTGAATATTTTTACGATTTTATTTGATTTCTCGAAAATCATTGAAGAGGAAGATAGTAGGAGATAGCAAGTATGTAGTATTTCTGAAAAGGTAGCTGAACAATCTTTAAAAATGAACCCTTTTTTCTATTTAGGAAGTTGTGTCCGCCTCTGCTAGAGGGTTTGATGTAATTTATTTAAAAAATAGCATATAAAAAATAAGTCTGACGTGTTTTTGCATATTTCTTAATTTTCTATAAGAGCCGAAACACAGATGGTGAGTTATCAAATATATCAAATTTTCCTCTTGAAAATTAGTCTGACGTGTTTTTGCATATTTCTTAATTTTCTATGAGGGCCGAAACACAGATGGTGAGTTTTCAAATTGACACCCTATATATTCATAACGTCTCTAATTAAAATAGTGGACAAATGAAAATAGGAATTTCAAGAAATGGGACGAATTAAACAAGAGATCATCAAAATGATGAAAATAATTTGAGAATAAAATTTTTTCGAAAGATTTTCTTGTAAGTTTGAAGTATTGAATGGCAAGTTGAAATACATCAAGACACGATGGCCTTCGTTTAACCTTTGTTCTCACATAGACAATCAATACTATAGTGTATTTTGACTGCTGAAGTATTTTGGGTGTTGAAATATATTAGATACTCTTCCTTCGATGTTTTAGTAATATTCTTCATAACTTCCAAATATTGTGGAAATATGGCATTCTCAACTATTTTTATTACCGTCAGCCTTATAATGTAGCGGTCAGTCCACCTTCAACTGAATAAATTGTTTCGAAGAAAATATCTGATAGATGTTTCATTCTATTGAATTTTGTTCTATTACGAATACTAGGTAAATGCTAAAAGTTAAAGTTGGGAATAGTTCATAGTCCTTAGTTAGATGTTTGATAAATTTACTACAACAAATAACGTTGTAATCAGAAAGAAATTGTTCATTTTAAACATAAAATTCTTTCCAAAAGAAAAATGGTACTTACTGTTTCTTGCATCAAATCGAAATCCTCGGCAAGATGTGCGCTGTCATTCCTGTAATTCATCATGGCTTGGGTGAGTCCTTTGTCAAAACCTTCAGTAAGTTTAGAGCGGTATGCAAATATCGAAATCCCAGCACCGAACTCCAATACGAAGACTATGGCCAAAAATGCACCGTACTGGAAAAATTATAGGGTTAAAAGATACACAAAAGAAAATTATATATTATACTTTCACTATTTCAGGTTATAAAAGGAGAATTATTATTTTTCAACGTAATGGGGAAAAATTCTGAACTGTAATACTTGTAGTATGTATTAAAAAATGTGAATGAACTACTATCAGAAAATGTCCTTGCTAAGTGAGCAGTGGTACTTGAGTTCAAGGCTATTTAGGCGTACCCAAGATCTTAACTAGAAGTGCCCTATTCGTGATTTTTTATAATTTTCTGGGAAGTGGGGAGAGAAATCAAAACCAATTTTGTAACGACAATTACTTTTTTCTTTGAGTGTAATAGCTCGACATATCACCCCTGATCATAAAATAACATACCTAATTTTTTAAAGAGCTGATTTCTACGAGGAGCGAGCCCCCAAGATCAACGCAATCACTGAAAAACGCAGGGAAAATTGGAAGTTCACTGAATAGATAAAAAGCAACGTTTAACCGCCAAATATTGAAGTAACAAGTTCCAATATGTAGCATCTACTTCGAACAAAATAATAATACGAAACTTTTTGTCCGCTCTTTTAGAAACTAATTATTATTTTACCATTATTAACATTCATTTCACTACAGCACTTTTGACAAAGGATATTTTGGCGAACAAAGCGATGTATCACGAACATCTGATATACTTTTTTGGGAATCCTATAAAATCCAATTTCAGTTCAGACTATAGTTGTGGATCCAACAGTGACAATAAGGGAATATTTATACGGCATGTGAAAAACCCCCACTCATAACTTTTGAACGGAACAAGATATCAAGCACGGCAAAAGTTACGTAAAAAGGAATTATATTTTTGAAAGCTTCTGATAATTCCTCTTCCATATTCTCTGTTTCACTATCCCTTTCGTCATTTAAATCAATAATGAATTTATTTCCACCATTAATATGGAAGTGTCCAATCTTCATATAGTCATTTTCATCTAAAATTAGGTACTTTTTTAATCCTTTTCTGCCAGTCTTCTTCGGTAATATTAGATACTTCTTCTTTAACTAGCTCTATTACCTTCTTATCAAATTTTGGAAAATTATTTTTACGCCTGATGCTTTGTTTCAATTTTACCCAAATCAATTCGATGGGATTGAAAACACAAAAATAGGGAGGAAGTCTCAGTATGGGGTGTATGCTCAAAGGTATACACTTTTTCAAATGTTCTTGTCTGTAAAACTTCAAGTCGTAGGTTTTTGGTATAGTTATCTTCAAAATACAAATTGTTATCCATTTAAGAGCTTTGTATTTCATCTTTCCTCGAATTTTTATTCGGTACTTTGATGAGCTGTCGCGAATGATAGGAAGCGTTGTCAAGAACTATTACACTATTCGCATCCAAATTTGGGATCAATGTGTTGTCAAACCATTCTTCAAAAATATTAGCTTCCATGTTCTTATGATAGGCAACATTGCAGTCCTCAAGTTTTTTCCACATAATTTCAAAGAACCAAAGTTGAGATGTAGATTCTTATATAAATTGAAACATACTCTCTGTGTTTCAATATTCAAATGTATCCGAATCTTATCCACTGGTATCAGTGACGGCTCATGTATTGGAGAACAGTGGAGGCTAAAGTCATAAAGACTATATACATACACAGAAAAGCCCGCCGGAGGCGCAAAAATTTTTTGGGGTACCGCACCTATTTAAAGCAAAATACGTAATATTTGCATAAATGCAAAAAATGCATAAATGCACAAAAATTGTGTATTGCCGAAAATTATACGTATAAAACTGACCAATAAAAAACAAAAACAAGGAAAAAGGGTTGTCTTTAAGTTATTTAATATAAATGAACTCTTCTCAGTCAATAAATAATACTTTTCTCTT